TTAAAATCGTAATTTTACTTCAGTTAACTAAATAATCGATTATTTTATATTTTAACTTTAGTAATATGAAAAATAATAAAATAACTTTTAAATTTTACACAACTAATCAAACTTTTTACAAATTCTTTTACAGGAGAATCAAGTTCAGGCCACTATTTACAGTACTGATATAACATATTTTGAAAAAGAATTTGCTCCTTTCAAGACTTACTTGGTATTGGTTGCACATGTGAAAGTACCACCTCTTGGATATGAAAATTCACTTAACAAATTCATTTGGACACTCGATAAAACACCATTGTTGAACCATTGAAGAGGTCAAACCTCCACAGGATCCATTACCACCACCAACACGACTAGCTCTTACCACATTTGACACTTTTGAGTAACAACCCAAAGAATTTGAATTTGGTATTTATAAATTTATTTAATTATTCTTAGTATTCACATAAAATCCATTGTTACTATAATAGAATATTTCTCATGATCTAATTATTCTTTCTTTATTTTTGTTTAATGTAAGATGTGCTCGCCATTGTCATTAATGGCAGTCCTTCAACAAAGACTACAACTGGAAAACGAATTCAAGAGTTTATTGTCATGGACAAGCTGTAAGTATATACAGAATATCACTCTTGTCATTTATCTTCATATCTTATTACTTGTTTTCAAATAAAGGTTCTTTTTGGTTGATAGTGTTTTCTTTTTTCTTTTCCATTTTCGTAGTTGATGTATATACTTGTATTTAATAAAGTGATTAATTCTTTTGAGTTTCAGTAACGTTGTCTTTGTAGTCGTCTTCTCCAAATGGTTACTACTTTTTCGGAGTTTAATTGTAGTTTTAGGATTGTTCTTGTTTATTTTTGCGAAGATTGTCTTTTTTTTCTTCTTATTTTTTTTTTTTGGTTTGTTTGTGCATCTTCCCCTCTCTTTTGTTAGAGTAATGTGATTGAATAGTCCTTCAACAAAGACTGTGACTGGAAAACTAATTCAAGAATTTATTATCATAGACAAGCTGTAAATATATATACAATATTACTCTTGTCATTTATCTTCATATCTTATTAGTTGTTTTCAAAGAAAGATTCTTTTTGGTTGATAGTGTTTTAAAATTAATTCAAAAGGTTACAATTTTTTTTTTAGTAGTCTGTACTGTTACTCAATTGATGTGATGCTAATAATAATACAAAATTCCAAAATATATACAGCTTTCATATGACTTTATATACTGAAGGTAACATTTAACATAGAATTATTATAATTAATATATAAAGATAACATAAAGTGTAGATTTTCTTGCAGAGAAAAGATATTTTAGATGGGCCAAAACAAAATGATAAGATATGATAATGATGTCTCTGGTCTCTTATTTGCTTTTTATGTTATTCCTTGTTCATCTTCTTCATTGCACTAGCTTCTGTAAAAATGCCATAACCATGAAAGTTTCGATCTTGATTCTAAACATAAACCTGATGCAATAATTCATTGAGACCTGAAGCATGATCCTGACGCAATAATTGATTGAGACCTGAAGACTGATTCTGTTAAGTCTTTCTAGCTGTTTCACGGTCTCATGCTTTGTTTGTTTATTGATGACTGAAGTAAGCCTGTTCAATGTCTGGAAAGCTTTTAATTTCTGAGTGAAATCGCAAACATATTATGGGATGAATCTGGATATGTGAAAGTTGCAGATCTGCCTACTTTATACCATGTTTTAGTTACTCCTGTGTTTACTTGCTTTTTTTGCTTTTTGCTAAATAATATCGTATATAAACAATTGGTTTTAGGTTCAAAAAGTTCTCATGGTTCTACTGTAGTCAATCAATAGAGTGAAGTAAAGGTTCAGTTTTAATAAGGATTGATCTTATTCCTGGTTTGTTCCTGCCCTTTTATTTTAGATGAATTAACTTCCCAATATTGTGGAAATAGTCTATTAAAAAGAAATATACTGGATGCCCTGTTTGATTTGTTTTCTCTGGTATGATTTTCTGTTATTTCTTAAAGATCAAGATTAAATTTTGATCAATAGCTAATGATATCCAAGTTAATTAAGGTTCCTGGTAGATATTAAGTTCTTGTCATGCTGTATTTCTTTTTCATACCTACTTTGATTTGTTGTACTCGGAAGGGTAAAGTTTGCGAACACTCTACCTCCCCTTAACCCACATGTTGTATGTCCTAGCATTTAGAGCTGACATTCCAGACAATACTTCAAATAGGACAACCCCAAAAGAGTAGACATCACACTTTTCTTTTACTTGCTGTCTTCTAAAGTACTCTGGATCCAAATATCCAAATCAAAAACCTTTGCCACTCACTTGTCATCCACCAAAATATTTGTAGTTTTCACATCCCTATGGATGATAGTGTACCTTGCACCTGTGTGAAGATAGTGAAGACCTCTAACTGCACCAATACAAATATCCAACCTTTGCTTCCATCACAAGGGTGGCTTATTGTGCTTGTAAAGGTTCTCTCTCAAAGGCCCATTAGCCATGTAATCATAGACTAATATCATCTCATCATTTTCTCTATAGGCTTAAAATTCTAGCATAAGAAAAATTGTAATAAAGATTCATTTTGTATAATGTAAGTTGTGAAGACCTTTATAGTAGGAAGAACTTCAGTTCACCGCTTTCCAACAATATCTCGTCAGTTCCTTGTCAAATAGCATAGAATGTTATAAATGATGAGGGAATGGAAACTTACCTTCAATAGACAAATATCTCATGAATCACCCAACTTATACTTTTTGTTGTCTGTTTACAGTTAACTTTCTTTATAACATCTCACATAGTTAGCCATTGGCTAAGAACTTTATGCCTAAGATGTCATGCGCACCTACCACAATAGGCGTCACCGTTTTAGAACTGCTACATGTGTGGCTCTGATTAGCTGAAAGACCTTTAATATTGAATTTGAGTTCAGATGTAAATACATAAACATAGAGATATTGATTTTCCTTTAAAAACATACTTGGTATCTTTTTTATGATTCACTTTTCTTTCCTCATCCACTTTGCTTTAATTCTTATTATTATATATATAATATATAAAATATTAATCATTTTGTTATTATAATCATTCTTTTCCATTTTTTCAGAAAGAAACATTATCCCTCCAAAATGTGGAAGATGAATTGAACGGCAAGATATTTAACATTCAAATAAAAAGGCTATTCACAAAAAAATTGGATGCAACGCAAAAATTATCCATTTTGTCTTACCTGGAGAAACAAGATGTGATTCATAAATCAATGGCATCTACGACAGTCAATATTACAGATGCGAAAAAGCGCACAATTGAACATCTTAGTTCAGGGGAAAAAGAATATCCAAGCATGGCAATGAAAAATCCTCCCATGAAAAAGAATTAAAAGGTATTTGAATTATTTTGTACATTGTTTATAAGTTCATCTTTCCAATTGACTAATATAAATAGGATTTACTTCTCTTTGTATTTATTTTCTTTAATTCAATTCAGTGTCTAGACACATTATCTTTGATTGTTTTGAATTGCAGTTGGAACACTTTT